TACTGCAGAAAGATTGTTGATGAAGATATTTTTGAACAATACAAGAAAACGCTCAACAGAACACGCATATGAAAATCCTTTTTTTTCTTTCTAATACACTGCAAAAAATGATAAAATATGAGGTACTAAATGCTTGAATCAAGTGATTTTATCTTAATTTGCGCACGCTTTGACAGTCTAAAAACAAGATTTTCCATTGGGATAAGCAAAAATGTCTTGTTTTAAAAATATACAAGACAAATCAAGAAATGTCTCCCTTGGAATGAAAATCCAAGGGAGACATTCGCAACAGCATTTGAAAAAAGACCAAATGGCTAGTTCCATTGAAAAATCTGGTTTTAAGAAAGTCAAAATATACTCAAATTAAGAAAAAAAAGACTTGATTCAAGCATTTGATAACTTATATTGTGTCACTTTTTGCAGTGACGTGTCAAAAAACAAGGCCCTTGGACCAAATGTGCCTAAATTCAGCTTTAGTGGCACCCAATCTCTTTTTATTTTCTATACCATGGCATATTTTCCCAGGAAAACGACCACTTAATTAAACTAAACATTGAAACCAACGCGATCACAATCAATAGTAATGCAAACAATAGAAATTGCATAAAAACAAGTCCAGTTTTGACGGATGCAAAAGATTAACTTTAAGAAGAAGAATTGTATGCATTATTTTAGCCACTAACAACAGTATAGTGAGTGATGCATTTCAGTTTTGAATTCATCATTTCTTTTATTACTCCGGATGTAGCTGTAGATCAAAAACAAAACAAAGGAGGTTTGCTAATATTTAAAGTCTCAAAAGCGGCAAAAAAACCTACTGTCTCCAGAATCCTGTCAAACCTGGCAGCCCTCCTAATGTTTGTCAAGTGTTATGGACATGTGAAGCTGATCCAGTGTCAAAGACCATTAGCACAAGCATACTTCCTATGTATGTATTGGGATTGAAAACCTCCCAAATATGCGTGGGACATTTAAAATAGATAAAAATGTGAAATTAATTGCAATTGTGACATTAACGTGATTAAATATTTTAAATCGTTTATCAGCCCTAATACATACACATACAAACATACATCTCCTGATATAGTGGGGTTTCTGATTTTAAAAAAGCACAAAAAGGTCAAACCTGCACAATATTCGCACATCTTTCCGTAAATATTTAAATGATGGATATTTTGGCACAAATGAATTTTACTGTAATAAAGAAATGATGCATCTCTGTTTACATAAACATGGAAAAATTGTTTTGTAGCCACATGAGCAGTTATAATGTTAAGATGATTGGACACAGAGTAGAAACATTCCAGACTTGAAATAAGATGTTAAATTTACGTGCAAACCAAAGACTTATACAATTATCGCCCAGTTATCCGTTTCTTTTATGTTGAAGACCGGCTGGAAATTATTAATGACGTCTTTGATTGGCTTTAGGCTGCAATCTGGAGAGGTTAATCTTGTGCTTAGCGTGGAGACACGTTCAGCCCAAGAACGTGGTCGCATTTCTCTGAAGAGGTGTTTCAGAAAGTAATGAGATCTGATTTCAGATACGTGCACAGAAAAGATTTCCCTTCCAGTTTTCAACCATTTGTGTTTTGATGTGTTATTTGCCTGGTTGAACCTGTGAAGAAACACCTGTACTCAAATTCTGCCAAACAATGAGTGTCAAACTACACACACATGAGTTTCAGTATTGGAGGCTTAATGCTGTATGAAAAAAGACCAAATAGAGTCAAAACTCTTTATTCAAGTGTTCTGTAACATTTTGCATGGTTTATGAAGAGGTGGGTTTTCTCAAGTCTACTTTGCAGAATAGTTTCAGTCAGTTCTATCAGTGCTATTGCTCAAAGGTAAGGTCTTCCCAAGTTTTAGGAAAGAACCGCTCCCTGCACTTTTTGAACAAAACTTTCTGGTCTTATTTGACGTGCACGTATCATAAGAATGACAATTGGGAGAACCAATAGTCTTGATGATCCACCCGGGAGTAGACAATCCTCCTATATACATTTAAGTTTAGCTTTTCCTTGTGGGCAACATTCTGAGAATAGTTACATATTTCATTATTTGCGTTTCTTGCCTAACTCTATTTTCTCCAAATTCTGCCTTGATTTGTTCTTCCAGTTGTATCAACTTAATAATATAATAAAAAATCACCCATCCATTTAATTCCGTTCCTTTCTTTCCTATCACAAAGGTAGCAACCCAAGCAGAGACGCTCAGACTTCCCTATCCAGTTCATCCATTCCTGAGGTGTTCCCAGGCCAGCTGAGAGACATGGACCCTCCAACTTGTCCAGTGTCTTCCCCTGGTCTTCCCCGGCTGTGACACCCCCTGAACGTATCTTAAACAGACGCCTGAGCCTCCTCAACTGGCTCCTCTCGACATGGAGAAGCAGCGCATATTTTCCGAGTTCTGCCCGTATGATTTATAGGATGGACAAAAAGCTGGGGTGCCCTATTTTTTTTCTCCATATACAGTACATGTTGTCTACTTGTGTACGAATCTCGTGAGTAAAATGCACAACACATTGTGCTGTATTATTATCTTATTTAAATCATTTTATCTTTTGCATACTATGCTTTGGCATGAGAGCTCAGAGTGAGGATGGTTCTTCACTATTGTCAGACAAAGATAATCTAGGACAGAGGCTAAACAAACATGCATGTGAAAACTAGTGATAGAACTAAACTGCTTTGAGAGTAAGGAAATGAGAGACTTGAATACATTCCATAATAACAGTTTTTGTTGTATGAAAGTTGGGTACCTAAGCTTCAACTATCAGCATCAGCCATACACACAGCACTGTTTTCATCCATCAAAATAACTCTTTTTAAAATAAAGAGGGGGCAAAGTGTTCTTTACCAATACGCTTTTATAGACCAGATTTTCATATAAAAGTAAGAAAATTAGTTGTTTTAAAATGTAATGTATCGTTCTTATGTTATTCAGCAACTGTATCTCCAAATATTGGTATATCTCACTGCAGCAGCACAAGTATCCAACATCTATCACAGCTGACAACACCATACTCACACATGACATATCCAATGTGTTGTATTTGAGAAATATAATTGTCATTAGTTATCTTATTGCTTGTCTGTTCTTTTCTTTCTGTAGATCTTTAGGGACTCAACCCAAATATGTTTTTTGAACAGATAAATATTTCAGTTCATTGTACATTTACCCATTTTCTTCTCTGCTTCTTTTGACAACGCACAAAACATGATAATCCCGTTGCTGGATAATTGACAGGTTTATTTTCATATTCATTTGACATTCTGTGGCAGCTCCATGTTTTAACAGTGAAGGCAGTGGATCATTTCGAGGCGGAATCATGAATAATAATAATAAATCTCCTCAATAAACATTTAGGCTTTGTTGACGTTAAGTGACAGGCGGCGGATGTGACTGGAGTGAAGTATTAGAGTTATGTCTGAAGTGCAGTCAGAAGATGGATGCAAAAGTAAACGCTGGAGCAACAAAGCTGTCACATGATGAATAATTGTGCTTTGTGAAAAATATAGTTTACCCGGAGTGGAAACAGATACTGTAAGTGGTGCAGAGATTTGTAGAAACAAGAGAATGCATCCATTATACAACCACTTTGTAAATTATTCTTCCACTCAATCGAAGGAAACACTTACCGTAAGTTCCAGGTGTCCACTTTCTGAAAGGTTTTTTTAAAAATATAATTTGTTGGGCTTAAAAGAATACATGGAAAGGATTGTAAGGGATGTCATATGCACAATCTTATGACAGTCTAATAAAGTCCCAAGCTCTTGATGTTACCTTGGAAACATAGCTACTACTTCTTTGTGTGTGCTCCCTGTGTGCTCTTACTATTTTTAATTTTTAATATTTTAATTAACTTTTCTCATATTTAATTCGCTGTAAATTGTTTTTGTGTATGTGTGTTTGTTTATATCTTTGTATTTATGTTTAGGACCCCCTCGAAAATGAGATGATTCATCTCAAGGGATTTTCCTTAATAAACTTAAACTTAAACTTACTACTGTCCTGTCTGTGCGCTGCAACATCGAAATTTCCCCACTGTGGGACGAATAAAGGAATTCTTATCTTATCTGAATGTTTCTGCCTTCTCCTAAGCACTGATTACTGATGCAATCCACTTTCTGGGGTTAGCTAGAAACTTAGCAAAGTCTGTATTGCATCCAACTACTTTTTTGTAAATTAATGTCTTTTAATTATATGTGGTGCTAATTTTTGGTTAAAAACCATAAAAGAGGTAAAAACAGCTAAAGTTCGCCTGACAAACTGGCAACCAAAATAAGGGCCATATTCTGCTTTCTGATTGGATGATCTGTTTGGACATAAATATTTAATAAAAACATTATAGAACATAAATATTATGGACGTCATGTCCATTGAATAACTCCATTTTAAACTTTGGTTCAGAAAAGGTCCAACATGATTTGGGACCTATTATCTAGGTACAAATAAAATATTTAAACTTAGAATATTACTTAGAGTTTCTTTAAAAGGTAAAGATATTTTTTTTAAAATTAAACTTAGATTTGTGCTTATACTATATTTAATATTCATATATTCTTTTGCGTTGGTGTGCTCCTCATTCCTGCTGTTCTGTAATCTGTGATGCAACACTGACATTTCCCCACCGAGGGACCAGTAAAGGAGAATCACTTTGAAAATATTATGGCTTTTAGTACAATACTAAGCATTTCATTACGAGTCAAACTGTCACTGGAAATCTGTCACAAAACATAAATTCCTTCGGTCACAGAACTTTTACAATTTTGGCAACAGTTTTTTGAAGAAGTAGTAACAGCAAAGTCCACAGTTCTTATATCAGACATGTTGATTGTTATAACACAAATAAATCTTCAATGAAATGGCACTTAAAATTCAGAATGGTAAGTTTTTTGTCCATCTCCGTACATCTGAATATAGCTCTTTCATGATATACTGTACATTTCAAATAAAGTTACTCTCGATAAGGTCCAGGAGGTGATACGTTATTGTCTTTAATCCCATTTGAAATCTTTTCCCACGGTTTCATAAAACTTGATATTAAACGGTCTGTAAAAGTCCCGCAGTTGCTCGATCACGTCCCCGTCTATCTGAACGTGAGTCCTGCCCTTGGACTTTCCCAGACACCGGGGCTGGCTGCTACTCTCCGGCTTCTGAAGACACGGGAATCCTTTGGTGCGATTAAAGTAGAAGTGCTTGTCCGAAATGATTCTTTTCAGTCCCAAAAAGTCCTGGACGCGCCCCATTTCTCCCGCCGGATCGGTGATGAGGCGCTCCCCGCTCACAAAGTGCATCTGGGAGGGACGGAAATACTGCAGCCAGTTTTCCAAGTGGATAATGTACATCCCGATTCGTATGGCGTTCCAGGTTGTGTCCACGATTCCCAAGCTCTTGTTTTTGAAGGCCAGCTCTTCAAACGTGGGGAGGTTGGGTTTTTTGGAGAGGGTTTGGGTGTAATCCGAGATGGCTCTGGTCACAGGGTTGCGGACTACCACGATCAGCTTGGTCTTGTGGGACATGCTGGAGATTCTCCTCGGGGCTTCTCTGGTGACGAAGTAGCTGGGAGTTTTTTCTAGCGTGACCTGGCTGTCGAGAGTCCGTGGCATCAGGTTTCTGGAGAAAAAAGAGAGAGCACAGAAAACCAGTGACAATAACGGTACAAGAAAAAGTTGTAAAAGTCTTTTGAAAATTCTGACAGGCTGGGGGAGAAATGTATTTAGTACTGTGTTTTTATGAAGCTGATGCGCAGATTCAGACTGAAAGACCGAGTGCAACTCCCCCCTTCCAAGCCAACCAATCACACAGCTCTGCCAGCCTCGAGCCCTGTCAATCACTCAGCCCGGCCAGCCTCTTGCCAACCCTCTGACAGCAAAGCGGGCAGTTTAAAAGGCAGCCACTTCCTGACAAGCAGCACTTCCTGAAGCTTTTAACACCCACCAGCTCCCGCTCTGGCACCCGCTCTAGGCTCCCGCTCTGGCTCCTGCTCCGCCTACGCCCCATTCACACCATACTCTAGCCACCACCAGTGCTTGACCCCGGGGGATCTCAGATCATCTTCAGCTGCAATCGATCTCATCGCTGCAAGTGTCACTGCCGGGGTAAATGGGCCTAATAAATAAATAATTTTAATGTATTAATTGTCTGTCTTTGGTCTCTTCAGATTGAATTATAGTTATCTGTAAATGTGATGTATTTTTATGGTATCCGTTATTTGTAACAATACTTCTTGATCTGTCCCTATCAAATAAACTTAATAAACTTAAATAAACAAATAAAAAAGGGCCACAAGCAGGAGACTTCCGTGCAAATCCACCAAGAAGGTTTGCTTTGTCTGCAGAACATGTTAGATACGACCAGGAACTTCCTACTGCAAATTTCAGATATAATTATTTTCTGGTTGAATGTGATATTGATGAGCAGCACTGTGTTCCCTTCCCCTGAACTGGACTGGGAAAGAGAAAACTTTGAGGCTTTCTTTCTCAGCTTTGTGATTTCAGGTAACCCACTTTTAAATTACCACCGAACCATTAAAACAGGATCAGATTTCCACATGCTATCCATTTTGAAACGCTTACATCTACTGTATCTACATCTGATCATCCCACGGCCAGTCACAATTTTTCAGATGACCATAGTTAATTGAGGGATTACACCATCTTCATTGAATTTAAGATGCATCTTTCTTCCTCCCAAATCAATCAAATAAACTTTTTTGTATAAACCTTTTTTACAACACATGCAGCTCAAAGTGCTTCTCAAACGACAATCACAGCCACCTATAAATACCCCACATAAAACCACCCTGCTGGCAACAATCACAGCCCCTGTGAGAGCACCGTCTAAGGAGCCTTTTCAATTATAAATGCTATTACTTGATGAAATAAAACAAATTTCAGCTTGAGGAAAATGGATTGAGATTTACTTCACTCCTCTTTTCTTGTTTAACTGATCAGCAGGTAATTTCTTTAAGTTTTTAGTCCACCAAGAATTTCTTCGGTCATCTGCAGCTAAAGTTGAGAGCACATTTCCTTACAGATATGACTTGAATGGAAATCTGTGAGTGCCTGGTAGAGTCTGATGGATCACAGCAAAAATAGTTCGTGATTAGTCGACTTTACAAAACCGTTGAGTTCGCCATCACAGATCAGAGAATCAAATAGTTCAAACACAGAGAATAAAGAACACATAAGTCTTGGTGCACAGGGGGGAGTTGACAAATGTCCATTCATGTTTTTTGAGCGTCCTGGATCATCACCAAAAGAAATGGACTCAAGGCCAAATCAAGTCAGTCTGAGCAAACTTGAGACATTGACTTTGTTCCCACACAACAGCAACAACACGATACATCATCATTATTAGAATACTCCTGTTGCGTCTCTGTATACCGCTGCCAAACGTTTGGATTTGTCACATTTGTCACGTGTGCTTCCCCGGCTTGTTACAGTGATGAATTCTGCTGCGGCGCTCCAGTTCAATAAAACATGATTAATACGCTTCTGTTTTCTGTCAACACGATATTCTCCAAACAGTCGTGGCTTTGCTAAGGAGTTTCATTTCTGTCCAAGATGGGGATGCTGGGCCAATACACAAACAGGCACATTTCTATACAGCTGTCAGTGTGAAGTTGTTTTTGGGCGATGGTGTCTTAGTTGACCAGATTTTGTATTCGCCAACTCATTATTTTTATCGAAATGACAAGAATTTCAATGAAAACTGCAAAAAGTGGATGATAAGGAGAATGATCACTCAATCTCTAAGCATTTTATTTAATACTCAAGCCAGATATTTTTTTGAACGACTAAATATTTTGGTTTGTTATGTAAATTGAAATATTGCGAGTAAAGTTTAGGTGAGAATATTTTCCACACCCCCTTTTTAATTGACTATTTGATTGGCAATACATTCGTCCAAGATAAAACTATTATGTATTCCTACGATACTACTACAACTGCTATATATTTTTTTGTAAGGGAAATTTTGATTACACAACACTGTAAACCCTAACTTCAATCGTACTTCAGATATCAAAGTTATTTTAAATAGATTTTTCCCAGTAAGTGAATATTACTAATTTATTGTTATTTTAATTAAAGCTTGGCGATATCACTCAGGATTTTCTTTGAATTGAACTCTCTTCAAGATTGTGAGTTCGACTCCTGGTCGGAGCAAAATTTAAACTTTATTGCAATCGCTTGAGTTACTTGGTAATATCAAGTAAAGGATGTACTCGAGTAATTCAAGTGAAGTTAATATGCAATTTATTTCCAAGGTTTTTTCAAGTAAACTTTACTTGTTAGGGTTTACAGTGAACATCTACTATCATTCATCACTTGAAATATTTACGGCAGGGGTCTCCAACCTTTTTCCTTTTTCGGAGAGCTACTTTTATACAAACAAAGAGCGAAAGAGCTACTCTTTTACGACAAAGCAGGGGGAACACATGTAAAATACACCATAATACTGTATAACCCTATACTTATGCTTATTATAGATATGTAATGGCTCCAAAAGTATTCATTCAAGATAATTTGTTTAATTCTAATTCCTTTGGCGAGCTACATGAAAGGGGCTGGCGAGCTACTGGTAGCTCCTAAGCTACAGGTTTGAGACCCCTGATTTAAGGTATTTGACTCATCCATTAAAAAATAGCAATTTAGCTGCACAAAAAAAACAAGCCAAATTTTCTGCAGAAAACTAAAACATACTCAAAACATTTTTATTGCCCGTTTGTGTTCAGCTTTTCTTTTATGCTGTAAATGGCATTCCTTTGTATTTCCTCCGCACAGTTGTGGTGATCAAGTCCGGCTGTTTCTTTATTATGACTGTAGGAATGCTCCGATTAAAAAGCTGACCTTTTAGCAAAGCGTTCTTGCTGGCGGTAGGGTAGCCATAGGTTTCCTCTAAGTCACGGAAATATCGATCCATTTAGCTACACTTATGAATGCTGAGTTGCTGGAGCCGGAGCCTTCGGGCCACAACACGACTATTAATCTTTTATGAGAACAGCTCCTTTGCAAGTGAACAACTTTCGCCACACAAACAAATATCTAGAGTGTGCCGAATTCTAACAAACGTGTTCTTAAGAGATTGTTGTAGAAAAAAGAATGATAACAACCAGCAATAATGCGATGAGTGTTTTAAGTATTGGGTCTTATATCTTTGTGTCAGTGAATCGGGCAGATTGTGAGTTTCTGGTGGAAAGTTGACATCTGCAAACTGAGAGCATAGGTATGTCATAAATATTAATAATATTTGTTTCTTCACAAACTCTGAGAATCTAAGCTCTGACACAGACCAGTGATTTCCCGGTCAAAACAAACTTTTAGAATCCGTAACCCACTAATTGGAATGTGTGATTGTTTGTATTGTAATATTTTTAATGCTTAAGTGTTGAAAAACTTGTATTATTATATTTATGGGTTTGGGTCCTCAGCCTATAACATGCAAACAACATTTAGCCCTGATGATGAGGGTCTGGAAGAGCAGATTATTATTATTACTATTAATACTTTGGGTTCAATTCCCACCTCTGCACCTTCTCCATCGACTCCCACTGATGACTGCTGTCGTTGTGTCCTTGGGCAAGACACTTAACCTCACTTTGCCCAAAAGCCCCCACTGAAAGATCAAGGCTATGCTCACACTCAGAGAGCAGCCGTCCTCCTGTGGACTCACCACCTGCAGAGGGTCAGTGAGGGGCTGGTGCTATGAGACTTGGGTGGCATCTCTGATTGCCACCCCCCTGACCCAGAAATGGATTAAAGGGTAGAAAATGGATGGATGGATGGACTTTCTGTCATCATTGTTATTGTTCTTTTTCTGTTTGAACAACTTTTAAAATGTTTCTGTTTTGTGTAGCTGTCTTATGACCCCCTTGAAAAAGAATATAATTAATAGCAAACTGAAATAAGATGTGACATAGCTTTAAACCAGTGTTATGATCTTACAAACGGAATAAAAACATGAGCATAAATCTCCATAACATTTATATTCTGTGCATTTTTCAGTGTGATCAGACTTAAAACTAAAAAGGTCCCACTCGAGTAAGATAAGATGAAACAGGATTCTGAATTGTTCAAAGAGTGTTTGAATAGTTGCAATGCCCTAATGTACTTATGTAAACTCTAATAATGTAATCTCTAATATCAGGAGTTTTTTTTTTACTGCTTTTATCAAATGTAAGTAATGTGTACGGCTTGATAAAACTGATTGATATGACTAAATTCTGCTAAAAGTTTTTTAAAAGTCTATTAAATGCTCAGCCCCTGTCAAATAAACGGTTTGGTGCTAAGATAAGCTAAGATTGCTCTGAACCAATCCAGAACCAATACTGAACCAGAACCTTGAGAAAATTTGCTTCAACTCCCACAGCATAGAATGTCGTTACCAAGCGACCAAAAATGGCTACATTTGAATTTTACACTTAAATGAATGGAGCAGTCTAAATAACTGCTCTGGGAGTGAAAGGTAAAACTCCTCTCATTTCAAATGTAAAATATATTTTCATGAAAAAAATGACGAAGAAATAAACTCCATGCAGATACAGAAAAAGTCAGTGTTGAAGACCACACATGTACATAAGCCGAGTAATTAATATTAAGAGATCCTTTCTT